TAATTATAGGATAACATTTCTGCTCATTATATATCTTTAAAGACTTTGTAACACTTATTTGGAACGAGATGTTAAAATAAGTATATTCATTAAATAGTAAAAAAGTACCATAAATGTAATCGCATTTCTTAGCAGATCTCTGGATTCCTTCACGTTTAGATCTCCAACTACCCAAATTGTTTGCGTTATCTTCTCGGGTTTGCCACTTTTTAGGAAATATTTCAAGATCGGCAAAGCGGTGGCTAAAGCGTCACGACCTGGAAAATATATAAAATAATAATTAAAGTACAAATTTAAAAATTTTTTGTAAACCAATTTTTTAACAACTACACAAACTAAAATTTATTATATATTTGCCATGGTCTCAAACCACCAAACGTAAATTTACCGATGAGTTTAAGTAAAATAAAAAAAAAACTAATAGACACACCTGTCAAATGCATCAAGCGATGCAGTCTTTCTTCTGTGAACAGTTCTGGTGAAGAAGGCACTCCTGATAGATCTAAATATTGCGTTGGTTCTGACGCTAAGACCTGACGATTGAGTCTGCAAACATAAACATATTTTAAACGGTTGAATGTTTTGCAAAAGAAATCTTCCAGAAACATAAATACTCATAAAACCTCACCATATTGCAGTATATAAATAATTGTATCGATTTCTAGTAATTTGAATGGAAAAGAAAAAGTTAAATAAAAAATTAAATAAAATAATAATAATAAAAGAAAATAAAAAATCTTTTTATAACATGATGACATTTATGAGACGAGAAGAATGACTACATACCTGGGCATAATATGTGGTTGCTTCATAAGGTGGTCGACTGCGTCGTCTGTGTCCGACAGCTCTGAGCGAAAGACTGCGCGCTGCAACCGCGCCGTGTGCCGCGCCAGCGCGCTCACCAGTGCCTCCTCCAGCAGCTCCACCGACGAGGTCGCTGGCGTCGGAGAACCATCGTCCCAGAGCGGCACTCCATTAATCAGTACCTGACATGCGATTGTAAAATAAGCTAATGCTATAAATGTGTAAATGTTTATGCATGACCCATGGAACTACATGACACTGCAACATGAAATATTTAAGTTTTTAAAAATGTGCCACAATGAAGGTTGTTGTAAATAAAGGTATTTGGTACTTACTAAGGGATACTTTTCGCTAGCTATCTTGAAAAGAAATTCCTCAGCCAATTGATGACCAAAATTATACTCAGAGTCCTCGTAAACAATCTCATCCACATTGGTGCCAGAGCTTGTGTATTTCTTGAGCTGCTTTTTAACGTGCTCTAATGTCATTTCGTCGTTTTCACACGAACTTATCAACTGCAAAAAATACATACAAAGTAAATACATGAACACATGGAGCCAAATAGGTCCCATACTATATTTTTTTTTTTGTATAAATCATAATGGTAATTAAAAATTAGCATAACTTCTTTATTTCGTCTATAAAGCAATAAATAATAACGTTAATTATGACAACAAGATATATTAACTAATGATGATATACCTGTGTAAGGAAATAGAAGGCTTCTTTATTAGAGTTTTTATCCTGCGCTATGTAGTTAAATGCGGAGCGTATGGCGGCGGAGAGCGCGGCGTCGCTCCCGGGGGCCAGCACCAGACCTACGCGCACCGGCGTCGCGTGCTTCAATAAAGTCTCGCCCAGCTTCAGCGGCGGCCCCGACAACGTTGACGTCGGGTCGATCACAATCACCTGTGTATCCATACTAATTCATTTTAACACCAATTTAAACAAATACCACACAAACAAAATAAATTATCTAACATCAAAATTGACATCAGCCTTTTAACATTCATTCTACATATAAATATTCACATACATAATTATAAATGTTTCGTCTCAGATTCCTGAGCATGCCAGGGTATGTGGGCCTCAACAGCTCCATGAAAGAGGAAGGCCAGCGTCTGTAGCGATCATCTGTCTCAAGGTCATTGAGCCATGTGACAGCCGAGTCGCGAATGTCCAGTCCATACTCCTCCCACGTGTACGCCTCGCCCAGTTCCAATGACATTAGAGAATTTATAAGATTTTTGGGTAAACCTGTAATAATATATAAAAAAGCTATAATAGCGATATTTAAAATATACATAGTTGTTACCCTCCCGATCTAATTACTTTGTAATTACATAGGAAGTCAAAAATCTGTTCTGTCAAACTAACCAAGTGCATGCAATGTATTCATAGGTCCGACATCCTCTCTGAGTGCAGCCAGGAGGGCCATCACGTCCACCTCCTCAGCGTCGTACTGCGCGCCTGAGACCAGCAACAGCGGCTCCGCGGCGCGCAGTCCCAGTGACGACGCCCAGACGTCTTGATTGTACAGCACCTCGTCACGGAATGAACGGGGCACGTTCACGTGAATAAGAGACTTTGTCTGAAACAAATTAAATTTGTATTAGATATAGCTGATAATATTTAAATATGTACTTCTTTATTTATTGAAGTTTTTTAAATTCCACGCATACCATACCTGCATTGGGAAATTCTGTGCAATAGATGTGAGCACTTTGAGCGCCTCGTCGCCGCCGGCATCGTTGGCATCAACTACAGCTGCGGCTGCCTGCATACTGAGAGCTTGCATCTGCCACACTTTGAGCGGTGCCAGCTCCTCGCTGGACTCCGACAGATGACGTCGGAACCGCTCTAACGGTGTACGCAGGGCAGGGAATAAATTCCTATTAAATAATATAGAATTGATTTTAAATAAAACTTAGACTGTTCAAATGACCCTTTCAAAAATGATATTAAGAGTAGTTTTCTTAAGTAATTCTTCTTAAAATTCTTGTTTGGTATCTAAAGAATCTACAAATACCCATTTATTCTAATACATGTAACTTTTACATCCTTGACACACAAGTTGCTTTAATCTCATTACCTTAGTCTCAGACTAACATAAATAACTAAAGCAACAGGGCTTTATAACTTACTTTCTTGACATATAAATTATAGACAACAGAAAATAGTACAATATTTTGAATATTTCATATAGAATATTCTATATTATAAGGAAATAATATTGTAAATAAAAGTAATCTCACTACAGCCGCAAACTGCTAATCTATCCACAAATATACCTAAAAATGCATTTGATTTCATTTTCTACTTACTTGAGTCTTCCAAAGTTAAAACCATCAATTTGATTCTGAGGATCATTTTCATCTTCTTCAATAGATGGCTCTACAGCTTCACCAGCATCAGCCTCTTTTGGTGTTGTATCATCTTGGCTTTTATACTCTGTACTTTTCAGCTGTAATTCTACTCCATAGCCAGAAAGACGCAATTTAGGTCCACCTCTAGACTGCAATAAATTTACAATAAATTTTACAAAAGAGAAAATAATGAAGATAAATACATAATAATTAAAACATGTTATTAAAAACCATACCTTTACATTCCATCTTACAACATAATTGACTGCACCCATATCTGCATATGTTGCAAGTATTTTATGCTTTTTAGCAAATTCAACAGTTCCAAGTTCACCATATAAAATAGCTGTAAGAGTTTTATTGTCACTACTAGGATAAGAGTGGTCCAACAAATATGTCTCTAAACGGTGTTCCTCCTGTAAATAAATATTTTCAATGACAAAATTGTAATTACAATCCAACTGCCTATTGCATCATTGCATAAAAAATTTTGTTATGTCATTTACAAATAAATAAGCTGCTACATTTTACTAAGAAAAATTAAAGCATTTTTGCTACATTATTTGATAAGGAAAATATTTGTACACTACACTTACAGGATCATGCTCTTTGTATACTTTAAGTATGTCACGCAAGGTATCAGTGTCACAAATTTTCCTTGATGCAATATGTACATACTCCTCACATTGCACATCTTTAGCACCATTTTGTGCAGCAATCTCATCAAACATACGAACTGCTGGAGAGGTCAAATGCATGGACAGTGCCAGTTTTGCCATCCTCAACTGTGCCGGCGCCAACAATGTACTTGCAATGCCAATACATGCATCATAAACATCTTTGTCGGTCGCTGAAAAACGATAAAATTGTTGTAAAAGAATGTGCCTCCGTTTACTCTTCTAGCCAATATTAATTATTTACTTACCTAAATCTTGTAAGGGAGATTTTAAAGAGTTAACACCGTCAACAAATGACCAAAACAGATCAGAACTTTCGCCAGAAAGATATTCGGCAAGTTCTAAGACTATTGGTGTTGACTCCCACTTAGCGGTTACAAAAGTTGTGACTCCTTTTGCTTTCTTTTCATCTCGCTTCGGTGGATCAGTATCGGTGGATACGAAGACAAAAACGTGGACTAAAATTACTATTAAAGAAATTATAAGGCCGGTGGAATTCATTGTTTATTACAAGTATAAAAACAGTGTTAGAATATGAATGTTTTGTATTAAGTGCACGAAAACGATTTAAAATGTTAAGTCATAGTTTTAAATTTATATCAATTAATTCAAACTTAAATTAATTTGCTACAAAATAAACCCATTATACTGCTATCACAATGAAACGGACAAACCGAAACCGCCAATGACAGGTGAACACGGATCGACCAAAGATGATAAATGCATCCAGATTCAGAAGTGAAATGAAATTGAATAACATTTTGCTACGATATTGACCAATATTGATGATATCTTTAAGTGACCCCTAACTTAGGGTAGGCTCCGAGCCCCTCGGTGGGGACATGTAGTGAGCTGATGATGATCTTTCTATCGACTTCTATAATATTCATGTACATGTAGGTAATATGCTATTGAACCTGAAAGAAATTAAATTATGAAATCAATTATCAAATTATATGAGTAGTTATCATAACATGTACTGATCATAACATGAAAGATTGTTTTATACTACAGAATTTGTGAAAAATTTGTATTGAATTATGTAAAAATCTTATGTCATATGCATGACATAAGATTTTTCAACGATATATTTGTGGTTAACCAACGTTCATTTTAATACATTTTCAACGTATCTTTTCTTTGATCTATATACTCTGTGAACCTGAGAACATCTAAAAAAAATAATTTGTTGCTGTCAGTCAAATTAAGCTTGACAAAAGATTTAAGTTAAATAATTTATTGCAAAATACAAATGGAATAAACTTAAATAAAAGTCACATAACATTGTGAGTATGAGGTGTTTATATAGTACGTTATAAATTCATCTATACATTTTCTCTTGTCTTCAAGATAAGAAGATTTTGACAGAGATGACGTAAATTTCTTTATACCTCCAAAAATACAATATTTACCATTTTCTCGCCTATATTTTGGTATTGATATCTGATGTTTTACCTGCAAAATTCGCAATCATCTGAAATCGAAAAATATATTTTACATAACTCACCCTTTCAAGGTACAAATAATGCAGTTCACAACTGAAGAAGCTTATGCTCGGCTCATTAGCCATAACATGACTGTGCCACAGCGTATTAAGGTAAATTATTTTAAATAGACAGTGAAAAATCCGTTTCATCCTATTCAATTTGAAATAAAGCCTAAATTGAAAAATATTACAAATGCCTAACAGTTTTAGATAATATACAGTGATATGGAGTTACTAAGAGTTTAGAAGAATTATAATGGTTTATATTTTATAATATAAACTATTATCAATAATTTATATTTGACATGACACTAAGTATATGCAATGTTTCCTATATATTTTATTGTAAGGAAAATATTAAAAATACTAATTGAAAAATTATTTTTGCAAAAACTAACAGATCCCAATCCTTTATTTACCCTTATGAAGCTTGATTTGACTTTCATATAGTATGCATTTTCATATAGGAATGATATTTCCCATTGAAAAGGAATTATTGAAGATATTAAAAATATTTGACATGTTTTCTTATTATTTTAGGCAACAGGTGACATAGTTGATGAAGAAAATACACCCAATGGGTTAGTGGGAGGATGGGATTATGCAAATGAAAAATTTGATATGAAGGTGCCAGAAAGGATACTTGTTGTTGGGCAGGACCAGCATATAGGTAAATAGCTCGATAAATTTAAAGGAACATTTTATGCAAAAAAATTGTATTAGTTTCCATTTTATTGAGATAGAAGTGGCCTATTATTTTCCTAAATTTATTTTTAAGTTAAAATGATATCTTAAGTCTTAATCAGTTATTTAATATCTGTATATTAACTCTATGAATCCCAGGGTAAAAAAATAATAATATTTTTATTTAATAGGTACAAAGGCGCCACCGAGGGAAATTCAACTGGATAATGCAGTGCTGCCAACCGACCCCGGTATGATTCGTGTGAACACTCCACCACGTGTGATTACCCTTGACCAGCACTACTTCCCTTCAGCTGATGACTTTCCGGCTGAGGTGGGCACTTCACCACCCCGGCAGGCACGTACGATACGCTCACAGGGTGATGGTGCGCGCGCCACTACACCACGCTGTGACAACTTTAATGACTCTATCAATACAGAGTCTCGACTGGTTTTAAGGTACATTAAAGCTTTAAAATAGTTCCTTAATTCTATTAATTGATGTATCACGTAACAGTGCTCTAAATATTTTATTCTGCTTTATGGTAATGACACATAGGAAACATAGAATCACTTCCCTATTACAAAAATATAAAAGAAAATACATATACAAGCTGTATAATCTGACTACTGTGTATATATGATTTTGCATTTTCATATAGAGATCCAACACCTCCAATGGGAAATGGCGAAGGCCTATCTATTTCTGAAGAGCTGGTGCATTTACGGAGGCAGATCGTGAAATTAAATCGACGTGTTATGTCCATTGAGGCAGAGCAATTGCAACGTCAACAGAAGGAAAAAATAGCTTATGCCATTGGCATTGCTTACATATTGTTCAAAATGATTGCTTGGCTCAACAGATCCTAATTGTATCGTAAGATAAAATACTTAATGAATTACTGTTGACGTTTTGAGAACCATTGGTTTATGCCATTCTAAATGTGGCATGAAGTTTAGAACTGTCCTTAACTTGGTGTAGCAAATGGGGTATGTTATAAATAATTCCTTGGAAGTTATGATTTCTTAGTGTTTAGGTAGCCTTTTTTATAACATGTACATTTCTGCGATTTGTTGTACAGTGAACATACAAGAATCTGTTTGTGTATAACCACCACTTCTCTCAATCTTATGAATTCTGTATGAATTATTACAAATATTATTCACAAAAGTATGAGATGATGTGCTGTAGGTCCTTTTTTATTTAAATAAACCATAGCATTGATATTTAAATGAGATTTTATTTATCTCCCATTGTCCTTTCTTTTGTAAAATGTAGAACATTTATTACTCATTATTCATTAACAATGTAACTCTGTCTTCAAATTGTTCTGAAACCACTCAACTTCAGTTACCCTTAATATAAAATTCTGATTCTCACCAGGGAAAGTTTGGGCATTGCAATCTATTTATTATTTTAATTATTGAACAATAACAATGAAAATAATCGATAATGGTTACAAATGAATATCGACATTTTACCACAGATAAGATTGTGAGATATTTTAACCCAGTTCACCACAGGGCGACGCCCTTTATCAGCTGACAATTCCGGAGCTCTCGCAATATGTTTCAAAACAAAACATTCAAGCTTTACATATTGCAATGAATTATTTTGGAATACACATGTATATATAACAATAATTTTGCATAAGGATTTTATTATAAAAGACATCATTTGTTTTTTTTAACATTGAATTTTCCTTTTTTTTAAGATCATGTAGACAAAACTGTTTTTAAGCATTTTTCAATCATTATAATAACACCATCCCCCATCTTCGGCAAAAAAAAAAATATTTTCGTAAAAAAAACAATTTTCAGGGTAACACTCAATATATTCCACAAAATGCCATCAACACATTAGCACAGATCATTATGGTTGGTAAGAATTTATTACAAAGGTAAACATTACCACATTACAAGATTCAGTTGGACAATGACACTTGTATAAGTAATTCAATTTGACATTTCAAACTTTTAATGTTATGTTGCAGTTGGTTTATCCTCATATATAAATATAACTGAGAATAACGGTCCGCCGAGACGTTGGGCTAACCAAGCATTCTTCACCACTGCTAACTTCAGTGAGTCTACAGCAAGGCGAGCGTTGAAGTTTGTGTGAAGAGCTCTGCCCATTCCTTCCAATATTATTAAGTCTACTCCTCGGACTTTCATTTCAGCGCATAAACCTGCAAAATATGTATTTTTCTTATGAAGATAGTAGGTAAGAAGGAACAAAATTTTTTTTATTTATATTAGGTAAGTATACAATTTGGTTGACTAGTATGACCATACTTTTTTGGTATTACATGTTAATACTTATACTTTTATTTTTTCTTTATACTGATTGGAAAATAAGATTTACTACAAATTTCTACAAACAATATAAATATGTTAATATAGTGTGAAATGTCTATTAGTAATAAAATATTGTCACACCACATGTTTAAGGAAAATTATTAAAACTTGTAATGAAATACATATAGTAGACCCTTTCTAACTTTTGCTTGTCATACCACACCACACACCCATCTTCTACATGTAATCTTCTTTCATCCTAAACCTTGGTGGCCCATTCACTTAACATTCAGATCTGTACAATACAACAGGTCTTACAATCAACTTGTAGATTTGTCCCTTAAGCTTTAGTAGCATTCTTGAAATACAAGTAACACTAGTGACCAGTATTATTATTCTATATTATAAATGTTACAAGCAAATTATTTTTTCTAATCCCTTACCTACACTAATAGTTCTGAGATCAAGACATGGGCCTCTCTGTCCACTGGATCTTACAACTAAATCACCAGAGGTCATAGCTGATGATATTACAGGACAAATGAGGGAGGCATGTCGCAGAACTTCTTCTAATTCCACATTGGTAATATCATTAAGAGCCGGCCATTCATTTGCACAAAGTATAATGGAGGTGCCTCGGAGTAATAATGCTCGTATAAATGGCAATATACCTAAAACTATATCAACTCCACTATTATCCACAAATACAGCTGCGCAATGGTGCACTGTCTTCTGCAAAAATATTAAATACAGTAATATTTAAACTTCATAAATAAATAACATGGAAGTGTAATATATTAAATTATGATTATCTATTTTAATGTCATCATTTTACCTCTAATTTCTCAAGCCATTTATCAAGGCCATCACACAACCATGGCCTGTTTTGAATCTTTTGCAAAGCACCATAAAGCCCACAATCAAGTATATCTGCAACAGCTTGAGCACCCCAGTCAAACATATTACCTGAAATTAAAATAATTTCAAACTCATTAAATTCCAGATATATATATTCCAAATGAAAATGGTAATGGTTTTTAGAATATGTTTCTTACCAGCAAGTACGCCCCGACAAATCTCAGTCCATCTTTGTCTCTCAGTTGGTAGAGCATCAATTTCATTTAGCCTAGATCTGAGGCTTGCAAGAGCGGTATCATTTTCATATTTCTTTTGTTGCTTCCATAAATCAAAGAATCCCTGGGAACGAAGGCATGTTTCGTTGATGTCAAGAAGCAATCTTATGGTCAATTGCCCGTGAGCACTAAAATCATAAATAATCATTTATATTATTTACCACAAGTAATTTATTTTCTATGCAGTCTGTGAATTTTCGATTTATTATATTAAATTAGTTACTAAATTTTTATTCGATTTCTTTTAAAGAGATACATGTTAAATTAATAAGCACCCTAAAATCATGTTGAAATAAGGTTTATTATAAAGTTTCTTCTCAAAAATACTTTCGTTTTAGGACGTTGTAAAATAGAGTAAAAATTAAAATTAATAATCGTGTTTATTATGTAAAGCCTTCTCTGAGAAAGAAAATTAACTAAAATGCTACTTACAGAGGGTTTACCCGAAGTTCCTTTATTGCCTCCACGTAACATGTTTTAAATTTTAAAGCTCTTATTTCCACTGTTGGATCGTCATTGTTTGTTAATGCAAAATTTACATATTTCTCAACGAGTTTTTCACACGTATTGAGCCAGTATTCTCTTGCTTCTTCATCTTTTAATAAGTCCAATGTATCAGGACTATATTTATCTGGCTCGAATAATATGTGAGACAAACCGAAATGTTCCATTATGGATGTAATTTAACTGTAACTAAATATTGCAATGTTGATTATTTGCTAATAACTTATCCCATTTTCATGTTTTATCACTATGCAAATATAATCTCCATATTATTTTATCTTATCTAGCTAATGACAGAACAGCAGACGTGTTTCAGACAAGCTTCGATTATTAAACATTAACCAACATTCAAAAAATACAAATGATATAAAGGAAATTAATAGTGTTACCAGATTTAATTGCTACATTCTGCTTAACTATTTTTTCACTAAATGTCAACATTTACCCGCAAGCTCATACACACACTAAGTGAAAACAATCACCAAACACTCATAGTGATCACACATAACGATTCACATTAATGTTTGCTATAATGTCAACGAATTGTCATCAATGTATTTCGTGTACTCATGCTAATTTTCTTTTAAGTTCTTTAATTTTACCCCAGCACTCCACTACACTGATGCTTTATTATTTCATTTTGTTATCTAATATAATATAAATCAATGCAAATCAAAAACCCCAGCCAAAAATTCTTGAAGGTTTCAAAGGGACCAAACATCGCGTAGATCGCGGAGAATCACTTAATCTGGTCACACTGGGAATTACGGAGTCAAAGAGTATATAATCGTTGAAGTCTACCTGTTGAAGCTAAATTTAGGGTGCCCAAAAGTATAAAACACCATGCTATATCGCGGTAAACCTATGCAATTAATTATTTGTAACGGTCAAGTTACGGTTAACTTACAATTAAAATCCCCTAGGTTTAAAAAATCGAATCATAACTAATCTATGATTTGTCAATTGACAACCGTCTCGTGTTTTTAATCTGTTTAAAATTTCTATATTGTCTATACTTATACATCATAGATTAGAGATTAGATTGTGTCGCTTCGTTTACTTGTGTGTGTTATTGAAACTATTGGAATGCGTTTAAAATGGAAAAGGCTGATGATATTTTTGAAAGACTGAATTTTGAATAAAGTGCAGTGATTCAATGAGTGTCATAAGGTATTTAAAATAGAATTGTGATTTGTGTTGTGTGATTGATGTAACGAATCAGTGGCAGTGGCACGCAAGATGGACGAATTGTCTAAGGGCATGTCACAAACAGGAAGCACTGTTGTAACTGACAAAAATCAAGAAAACGATGGTAAATATTCATAATATATTTTATATTATAATAATTCACTAGGTTTTAAAAGTTTTATGAGACTAGGCCTAAAATGAGCTTAAAAAATTTAAAATTGAAACGTAAAATCAACAATGAAACACCTAAAAATCGTTTTGATTAAAGGATATTTTTAACAGTGTCGTTGTATGTAGTGTGAAAATCAACACCTTTACGTTTTTCCTAAGTAAATTACGAATTTTAGTTAAGTAGGTACTATTCCTTATATAAATTCAAGTAAAATTATAAACATTAGATATCTCATTGTAATTTAAAAACCATTGAGATGTATTAAATATTTAAAACCATTAATATGTTTACATTTATTACCTCAATCATATATATAGAAACAACATGAAATGTATAAGTATATTCTTAGGTAACTAATTTAGTTGCGACTAATGCACAATTAAGGGTGCTGAGAACTTCACTACTAAAAGATATCAACAATTAGATTGAAAACAGACTATATGCCGATAAGTCCTACTACTGTCTTGTTTTTTCAAGTTTTAAGATTACATAACTTTAATCTTGGAAAAATTGTAGAATACCATAATAAGTTACATCAACTATATGTGATAATAAACTTGCCAAAAAAATGGAAAGTAACCAATTTAACAAACAATTCATTGTTTATTGATTTAATTTGATTGATTTATTCAGCATTATATTTTAGAATATTTTCTAGAATCTATTTTTAAAAGAAAACAAACCATAATCATGTTTATTAAACAGTTGACATACGTTGATAACAAGTCTACATCAAAATTGGTAGTGAAGACTTCCGCTGATGCAGAATGCTAATACAAATCTCCTTGATTTTCTAGCACAGATAACTTAAAAAACCTTAAGATTAAGCACATTTGGCACTTTGCCAAATCTCAAGGAACTGCAACCTCTTAATACAGCTTGAGATCATGATCTATACAGCTACTTCTGCCACATATTATGAAGCCAACTAAAGGTTG